GGCGGGTTGTCTTCAAAATGTACTCTCGCTCCGCACTCATTTGTTCTAAAGATGGCCAAAGGCTTCACAGATGGAGGGCGGGTGGTTTTCAAAATGTGGCTCTCGCCTTCGCGCCGCACACATTCGTTGCAAACGCTTGCAAGAGCTTCACGGATCGAGGGCGGGTGGCCCTCAAAATGCGGTTTTCGCCTAAGCGCCGCGCACACTAATTCTACACATCTGAAAGATGTTCACGGGTTCTCCAGGTTAGCGTACTAGAAATGGCGTTGTGAAGCGATTGGAGATTGTAAGGGCGCAACAGTTACGTTGATTCGCGGTGCTGGAATCCCACAAATGGTTCCTAGCATGAATCAGGAACGCCAATACAGAACAATCAAGCTAAATATGGTTAACTCGTGGCGTTGAAGTCCGGAGAATGCTGCTTTGGTACGCTTCGAAAATGTTCACACGGCTGTCCTCCAAACAATGCAATTCCCTCAGTGGAAACGATCCCGTGTAAGGGCCTGGGAAAAAGGATCTCGGAAGGAGGGTGTTTTTCCGCGTCGTTGACGAATCTTTGGTTTGCACTGGTCCTCCTCCTCCTCCTCCTCCTCCTCCTCCTCCTCCTCCTCCTCCTCCTCCCCCTCCCTCTCCTGCCTAAGGCATCGGCCCGTCACACGGGGCTGCCCTGGGCCAGACGACCCCCCGCGGCTGACAGCCCGCTGGGGGTCACGCTGGCCGTCCCCTCAGGATGAAGCATCGCTCAAGCGACCCCTATCCCCATGGGCGAGACCTTGGCCCCACTGGCCGAGTCACCCGCCTGGATGGGGACAGAAGCAATCTCCTTCGGATTCCGAAGGGCAGATCCCCAACCGGGGAGGCTGAGATGGTGGGGGCCTGGATGGGGATGGGGATATAGGGGATAAGGGGTCGGTCATACGATGTTGACCCAAGATGGAGCACAACTGCCCGAGATCAAGCTGCTTTTTCCCCTGGAGGTCCACGGATGGAGGTCCAGTGGTGTGGGTGGGCCCAGCCTAGCCCGGTTCAGGCTGTCCGTCCCTGGCGTCCTGTCGGGGTGCCACTGCACCTCAGAGGGCCATCAGATCTGGACGACTGGGATATGGCTTCACGGGGGGGGGCGGCAGATGAGGGGGGCGAGGAGACGTGCACCTCTCGTGCCCCTTTGGGGCTCCGGAGGGGCCCTGTAGGGCCCCTTCAGGGCACGAGAGGCGCACCATTCTTCACCCCCCCCCACATGTCGCCCCCACATTACGCACCGCACGAGACGACGCAAAAAGAAACACGCCAGCCAATGTTTCGTCTTTTTCTACCTCCAGCAACCGTTTCCCAGCCCCGGGATGGTCAAAGAAGGACTCGGGATGACGACCGCGATGAGGCCGACGTCGCGAAAAAGTGCAGTCAGGGGAGACGCTCCCAACACTTTTCGATCCTGGCTGGTGAGCGGACAAGTGATTAGCATAAAGGAAGCGCTGGCGGTGCGTACAAGGGGGTGGACCCGCGCTGGAAGGAGGGGGGAAGGCTTTTCAGAAGGAGGCTGTTTCTTAGAAGGCGCCAGCCCTACATCTATAGATAAAGACCGCGCCTTTTTAGAAGCAAGGGTGCTTCCAAGAAGCCCTCCCCCCTTCACTCCACCCCCCTCTGCTCGGGCGTTGGCAAAATTGGTTTTCGTAGGACCTGGTGTAATAATGCGTACTGGGGGTCGCCCCCCCAACCTCGTCCCACTAACCGGAACTGCCGTCACCCGAAAAAAACTAGCTGGCCAATTTGGGGGCTCGGGGGCCCTCCTACTGACCGGGTCCCCTTACCTGGGTCCTGGCTATACCCGGTCTGCGCACCGCCAGAAGCGGGTCCTGCTGCTAACGGGTCCTGAACCCCCAGGGCTTTCTTGAAGGGGCCCTGGGACACACAAATAAATAGACACAAATGAAAATATTCCCCATATTTTCCCATATTTATTGGATTTCTGTCTTCCCCCCCACTTCCCATATTTTCCCATATTTTCTGGGGAATCGACGATTAATTGTGTCTGTGTGTTTTTTCTCCTCCTGATTTCTGACCATCTCCTCATCCGGTGTAATGTTCGGCGGTCCCAGGGCCCAGGGAGGGTCCAGGGAGCCCGAAAACAAAAAACAGAACACCCATAGGGACCCGTTTGCTTCCCGGCGAAAGCGCAATCCCCAGAGGCATCCGAGATGCCTCTGGAGGGCAAAAACAAAACATCTGGCGCGTCCAGAGTCGGGAAGCCGTAAGACTCGGGTACGGGGGACTCGGGTTGGTCTGACGAGGCCATCATACAGATGACGAGGCCCAGTCTGAAACTTGACGCGACCTCCCGCTGCAAACATCCCACGAAAACCCGTCAAAATCCAGGGCGCGCTCGTCAAAAGACGTCGGCACACCCGCGTTCCGGCTTACTCGAGTCTTACGCTCCCCCGACAGAAATCTCGGCCCTCGATCCGGATCCACCCAGCCCGCCCCGCCCTGCAGACAGCGGGCGGGGGGGGGGGGATTGCCGGCAGCAGGCTTGAGGAGGCGGCCGATCGAGCCCTGACGGTCGATCGGTGCTCTGTCGCCCTCCGGAGGCCCCTCGAGGCAGAGGCAACAGCACAAAAAGCAACGTAATTTCTGCTTCAATGCGCCTGGAACCACGATCCCCCCTCGGAGTTGACGGACAGACGGACATGACGCGGTCTGGCGCGTGGGCAGGACAACAAGAAGACTCAGCAGCATGCACTGACTGCAAAAGAGTGAGAGAAGGGGGGAGATGGAGATGGGAGGCAGGTCGAAAGAGGAAGGGCGCCACCGAAGAAACAAGAACATGATCCCGCTGGCCGGTACCCCAGGCATCCGACGTCGTGACTTTCTCACGACGTGGATCCCCAGAGGTCTGTGGACCCCCTGCCCTGCATGAGAGTTCGAACAAACTGTTCATCCTGCATTGTTTTTGACGGCCCCTGGGCCCGATAAGGGCCCCTGGAGGCAGAGCTGTTGTTTGTTTGTGTGTTTGTTCGTTCGGTTGTTTGTTTGTTTGTTTGTTTGCTTGTTTGTTTGTTTGTTCGTTTGTTGTTGTTTGTTTGATGTTGTTTGTTTGTGTGTTTGTTTGTGTGTTTGTTTGTTTGTTTGTTTGTTTGTGTGTTTGATTGTTTGTTCGTGTGCTTGTGTTGTCGTTGGTGTCCGAGTTTGATCCCCACCCTCCTGTGTTGGGTTCTCGTTTTGAATAGAGCACTGTGGTCTCCATTCCTCCTTCCTCCTCCCCCTCTTGCCTCCTCCCTTCTCTCCTTTGTCCTGCTTGCGTTGCAGCCCCGTGGTGACTCTGCCTCTCTCATGTGCTCCTGGGAAGGGGGGATCTCGCGACTCCCTGGGGGGCTGCGAAGTGTGAAGCTGTCGCCATTTTCGTGGGCTCCTGGGAGGCTCAGCGGAGTGGAGTTGTAAATGCACCCAGCCGAGACCTCGCGGCTTCCCTTCGGGGGCTGCGAACTGTGCAAATGTCACCACGTTCGGCGGAGTGGAGCTGTAAACACACCCAGCCGAGACCTCGCGGCCCCCTGGATGGCTGCGAAGTGCTCAATTGTCGCCACTTTCGTGTGCTCATGGGAGGCCCACTGGAGTGGAATTGTAAACACACCCAGCCGAGACATCGGTCCTGTGTATCGGCATCACATGTGTAGAGAAGGTTGGGTACGTCGCAGGGTAAGTTTGTTTGGGATGTTGTTTGACCGTTTCTATTCAAAGCGCAAGCGACACAAGGAAATCTGGGTCAAACATCGCACCCCTAGACCTCTCCCGGCTTGTGCGTGGCTCAAAATTCTAGGCGAACCCAGCCGTGGCCACGAGGGCGCCCCAGGAGGCAACCAAATAGCAAGAACACCGAGATATACTTCAACTTCGATATTGATCCGAGGACCTCGATCCTTGAATTTCGCCCCACGAATACTTCGATCCTTGATCCTCGAACTCCCGCTCGATCCCCAGGACCTCGATCGTGATAGGGGGCAGCGATAGGGGCGGGATGGCTCAGAGGAGGAAGCGTCGACATCTGGAATCGGCGAGACACCGCCGGCAAATCGGCGATGGCCCCCCCGATGGCAAATCCGCACGATCGTGGGCGAGGTGGGCCATCTGGCCCCTGCCAACAATAAATTGGCAATGGGGTGTCGATGCATGAATACGGAGGTTGACAACCAAAGAGTCGAACCTACCGTGTGGTCCGTAGCAGGAGGACGATTGGGAAGCGAGAAGAGAACCCTTTTCCCATGCCCCGCGGGCGAAGTGGGCTATCTGGCCCCTACCAACAATGAATTGGCAATTGCTTGGAGTCCTGAAACGGTGCGGTGATAGACCGTGCGGTGACCTCGGAACCCCAAAAGACCTCACTGCACGGTCCGTCACCGCACGGTCCTGGGACTCTGGAGGCGCCTGTCGCCCAAGACATCCTCGGAGAGGGACTCGAGTCCCAAAACCGTGCGGCGATCCCGAATCCCCACCGATCCACCACACGGTGTGGTCACCACCCCGTTTGGGGGCCCCCGAAATTTGGGGTCGATGCATCCCCCCTGGAGCCCAACCCCCCCTGGATCGTTGCCCCTGGATTTTCGGTTCACACCTCGGCTAACAAGCGGCCGTTCGGGACGATGCGGGCACCTCCAGAACGTTCGGCGAGGTACAACTGCTGAAGAGCATCCCGAGACTGGAACCTGCCGAGAACCGACGAACACATCCGAAAACCTCGAAACGCGAACCGTCGAGCTTATCCCTGAAAAGGAGTTGGGCCCCTAACGTTGTCCCTGACTTGAGCGCAATAAGAAAACGATCCCTGGTTTCGAACCCTGGACCTCTCCCGGGGTTTGGGACAGAATTTCTGGGCGGGCCCAGCCGTGGCCACGAGGACGCCCTATGAAGCTCAAGCATAAAAGAAAACCGACATATATGTATATACTTCAACTTCGATCATTGATCCGAGGGCATCGATCCTTGATCTTCGCCCCCGAGGGGACATCCCTCTGAGCCCCGCGCCATCAGCTCCTTCGTGGCCCTCTTCTGCTCGTCCACCGAAGAGAGCCTCAGCCTTTGCAGGCTCGCCTCCAGGGTGGTTAGCACCGCCGCCTTCGGCGATCGGCCAACCCCGCCCACTCCCGACTTCCAGCTCTCCCTGCTCCCTCTCATCCCTGCTCCTCCTCCTCCTCCTCCTCCTCGTTCTTCTCCTCTTCCCCCCCTGAGTTTCGCTCCCCATTCTCAATCCTTCCCTTACTCCCCTAACCTCTCCTGCTTTCTCCTGGAAGAATCTACTCCTGGCCTTGTTCTGAGGTGCGGTCTGGACATGGCTCCGCATGGAAATCCAGCCGTGGCCACGAGAAGGGCCTCCCCGGAAGCCCCAAAAGAGACAAAAACTTTGAGACAAACTCTGAAACCCTCTTGGGGATGGATGAGAACGGGGGGGGAGGGGGGGGCAGACATCCTCATCCTTCCTCCCTTGTCCTCCTCTTCCTTCTGCCCCCGCCTCCCTCCCTCCCATCTCCTGCCCCCCCTCCTTCTCCTCCTGCCTCCCTGTTCTTCCCGATCCCCCCATTCCTCCTCCCCCTCCCCCTCCCTCCCCGCCAGGGCCCCCCCCGAGGCTCCCAAAACAGGGGCCGCCGCCGGACAGGACGGTCTGCACGCAGGGCCATCCCCTCCCTCCCTCCTCCCCTCCCTCCCTCTGCCTGAGATGCAACGGTATTGGGGGGCACTGGCAAAGGGGGATGCATCGACCTTGAATCGGCTGTTCATCGTCGATACATCGGCGACAGGCTTCCGATTGCGAAACCGCACCTTCCCAAGCGGGTCGGGGCTATCGGGCCCTTGTCGCCGATCAATGTCCGATTGGGGTTCGATGTATCCCCCCTATGCCTATCCCCCCCTGTCGTTGCCCCGGGGCCCTCCCCCACCTCCTTGGAGGTGATCTCCCGCCCCCCCCCGCCGCGGCCGATCATCTTCGGCCTCCAGCACACGCGCGCTTCGCGCCCTACTCCGCGCGAGGACCTCCTCCTCCTCCTCCCTCCTCCTCCTCCTCCTCCTCCTCCTCCTCCTCCTCCTCCCCCTCCCCTACTCTTCGTCAACCGCCCCATCCTGATCCTCCTGGTCCTCCCCCCCCTCCTCCTCCTCTTCCTCCTCCTCCTCTTCCGTCTCCTCCTCCTCCTCCTCCTCCTCCTCCTCCTCCTCCTCCTCCATTCATTTGCCTTTAAATTAACTTCTCCCTGTCGCACCCCGAAGCAAGTTTTTAGGGCGGTCCAGGCGTTTCGCCTGAGAATTCCTCACCACTTATGACCCTAAATCTGAAGAATAGCAGCATTGTCACGCGGCTCCTTTTCAAACTGTAGCTCTCGCATTAGCGCCGCGCACATTCGTTGTTCTCAACTTGCAAAAGTTTCAAGGATTCCCAGGTCAGCGTAAATACCAGAGCGGTGCTGGGAAGCGGCAGGGCCAGGTCCCCCCTCCGGTGGCGGGGGCCCTCGAGGCGGGCCCCGCGGGCCGGGCAGCAGAGGCCGGAGGTGGCAGAGAGGCGGCAGGCGCCGAGAGCACGGGGGGGCCATCGCCCGGGCGCGGAGGCGGAGAGCCTCGCATCGGGCGGTCGGGCTCGCACCCGGGTGGACCAGGTGCCCTGTGGCGCAAAAAGGGTTGCCTCATGATCGTCAGATCCGCCTGGGGTCAGGAGGCAGAGGTGAAAGGAGAAAACTTGGACGGTCGTGAGAGCGAAGGGTTTTCTCACGAGCCGTAGCCTCCTCCCACTTGCCTGCCCTCCTTGGCCTCCTCTCCGTTGCATTTGGCTTAAGTGGCCTCTGCGAGGCCATGACTGTTTTTTGGGGTCCTGCCGAGTTTTCTCAGCGCGCGCTCGCTGCGTCGGTCGGCGCGGCACGTTTCCCCCCTCCACCGCGGGGGGGCCAATCTCCCCGGCGCGGAGGCGACAGGCGCCTCGCGCGGGGGGGGCATCGCTGGGCGCGGAAGCGGAGGGCCTCGCACTGGGCGGTGGAGCTCGCGCCCGGATGGACCGGGCGGGGCGCACCGTGGCGCAACAAGGTTCCCCCATCATCAGCAGAGAGGACGGGGCGACCTGAGTGGCGCGCGCGCGTCGCGGGCTGCCGCCGCGATCCGCCGGAGGTCAGGAGGCAGAGGTAGGAGGAGAAAGCGTATCACTTCTCCTCGGCCCCTCCTCATAAGAAATCATCATCGCGCTCCTGGTGCAATTCCACCTCGTTGTCCTCCTCCTCCTCCTCCTCCTCCTCCTCCTCCTCCTCCTCCTCCTCCTCCTCCGCTTCATGCTCTACCTCGTCATCGACCTCCTCGATTTTTTCCCCGTGTTCCTCCCCTGCTCGCCGCCGTGCTCCTCTTTGTGTTCCTCAAATTCCTCTTCGTGCTCCTCGTCCTCCTCCGCTTCGCAATGGTCCTCCACCTCCTCCTCCTCCTCCTCCTCCTCCTCCTGCTGCCGCGACCCCAGCACCCGTCCAACTTTAGGACGGGTGTCCACTGGCGTCAGGCGTGTGAGGATAGTCCATGCGCGCCAGGCCGAGCAAATCAACCACAGTGCTCTCAAAAACCCTCACTCCACGGGTGCGTGTGTGTGTGTGTGTGTGTGTGTGTGCGTTTGTGTGTGTGCGTGTGTCCATCCGGTTTTTTTTTTCTCGGCGCCCGGGTGGGGGGCGACAGCCCGCCTGGACGCCGGCGACAGGACACACCCCGAAAAAAAAACGGCCCGGGGGAGGGAGGAGGGAGGAGGGGGCAGGACTGCTCTACCTCGTCATCGACCTCCTCGATGTTTTCCCCGTGTTCCTCTCCTGCTCGCCGCGGTGCTCCTCTTTGTGTTCCTCAAATTCCTCTTCGTCCTCCTCCTCCTCCTCCTCCTTCTCGGGATGCTCCTCCTTCCCCTCCTCCTTGTCCTCCTCCTGCTGCTGTTCCTCCTCCTCCTCCTCCTCTTCCTCCTCCGCCCTCCTCCTCCTCCTCCTCCTCCTCCTCCTCCTCCTCCTCGTTATCATCCTCTTCCTCTTCCTCCTCTTCCTCCTCCTCCTCCAGTTCCTCTTCATCCTTCTCTTCCTGCTCCTGCTCCTGCTCCTCCTCCTCGTCCTCCTCTTTTCCGCTTCCTCCGCCATGCCAAGGACGCCTTCGCATCCTCGATGCCACTTCCAAGAGGCACCCTCGTCAAGGATGCGCGCCCTCAAACAGGTACGGTTTGAGCATGGTCCCGTCCCTCCCCATCCATCATGCTTCTCGCGCAGCATCTCGGAGCTCTTTCCTCCTCCCTTTCCCCCCCCCATCCTGCCTCGTCCCTGAGTTTTTCCTCTGAGAATCAGGGTAAGATGACAAAGGAAGTAAGGTCTCGTGTTGACTCTGTTCAGTAGTAGAGGATACGGGATGAGACATCAATGAAACTGCAAGTAACCGTTAAACGATTGTACTCAGGAGTAGTAAGGGAGGATGCCGGCCGGCCGACGACACGACTACGACGAGGGAGCGAACCCCTCGGCGCGCGCGCGTGCGGGCCAGCGCGCTCCTTTTAACTCCTGCAAGCATGAACAGCTGCGGTACGAAGCCGCAGAGTCAAGGTGTGGCAAGGCAGGCAGCGAGAGAAGCAAGTGCAAGAAGAGGCGGAGAGGAGCATATTTACCCCCCCGCGGCGGGCTTCGTAGGGCCCATCCAGCCACAGCCTCCTTGGCCTGTACATATTATACAACCACCGGAGCGAACCGCAAAAACTTTTACCGCTCAACGGTGGCTGCCAGGGCCGAAGAAACCCGACGATTACCACCAATAGTGAAATGCATTCTCTCTGCCAATACGACTTTGTCGATCGGTTGGGCCCGCGGCGACTTGGTTGCGCGGGCTCGGCCTAACTCAGATCTTGCCGAGGATTTTCCCGCCATGGCGGAGTCGGAGGTCTCGGATGCGAAGATGACGAGCCCCCCGTCTGACCCGCGGCCCAATGGGGCGAGCGGGATCTGTATCCCTTGCCACGGCCGGCGGGAAGCGCTGGCCTGCTGCGCTTGTCTTTGCGATTGGAATCCTTTCCTTTCCTCGGAAAATAATAGTTGTAGTCGCTCATGTAGACCACATGCCACGCACTTGACCGTTTGCCCCTGTGGCTCATCCAGGATATCTCATCCCAGTGAACGTAGTATCCATCCAGGACTTCATTTGTGTAGTGCGGGCAGTGCATCGAGGGGTCGTAGCCGGCAGCGCCGCGGCCGACATCCATGGCTCCGCCGCGCGCGCGTAGGCCTCGACCACTCCCGTGTGTCTCTGTCTGACGAATACCATGAGTGCTCATCGCCTGCCACAGCGGTTTGACCGCTGGCAGAGTACGGAGATTCCGTGACTTCGTCGTGAGCCCGATCGTCTTGGACGTCGGATCTGCGTGGAGGAGGTGGCGGTCTGGGCCTCGCTTTCGCCAAATCGCGTAGCCGCATCGGCTCCTCCGCATCGGCTTGGCCGTCGGGGGGCCCAGCAGCGCCTCCACTCTCACGAACACTCTTCTCGTTTTCTAGCAAATCTAATAATGCCCCTTGTAGCAGTAGCAACAAGAATGCCAAACTTGCCGCAGGCAATACGAAATGGGCCTTCATCTTTATCTTGAAGCTCCGCATCTTCGTCTTCATTTTATCTTGAAGCCAATGCAGATCCTCTTGCAATTTCATGCCCTGACGGCGGATGTCTACGCGGCCCTGTTTACCCAAGTCACGGGCCCATTCCTCAATGAAGTTATCCGTCTCAATCGCGGCACGAATGCGGCAGTCGAGGGCGCATGCATCTTTTTGGCGCTTGTCATTATCGTATTCTACGCCGGCGCCCTGGGCAAGAAAGTTATTCCCAGGGTAAATGTAATGTCCCTCGGCGATGAAGCAACTAATGATCTCGCGAACCATCGCAATCGCACGAATAATGCGAATGCCCAATTCCAGTTCTGAAACAGGAACCTTCCAGTTCCAGCCAATGATGTCCCGCGCACTCTTGGATATCGTGCGTTACCTCACCCGACAGTCGTAACCCATCAGGGGTCGTTTGCCTCCGGGCGAAAGCTGTTGTATTCCATGACATATTGGGCAGCCACTTCTTTGACTCCGCCCTGGGTCAATGTGATG